GCTGTTTATAACATGAAAGCAATCCAGTTATGGTTTTTGGGGAAGAATTAAAAATTCAACCGTACAGAACAAATTTGAGAAATTACCACTCTATGTATCTACACACACTAAGTGTGAATGCAATCCAGGCAATCCCGCTAACAGTTTTGAAAAACTACATTTCTTGACCTAATGTGCAGCATTACAAGTGTATCCTCTTCAAGTGAGCAAATTCCCATCTACAACTCAAAGCTGTACATGTATAGCAGTTTTTGAAAAGTGATTCATGGACAGATGTCTCAGCATTCACCACCACAAAACAATAAAAATTAGTTAACAAAAAACTCACCTGCCAACGGAGTGTGTGTGATCGCTTATTCTTTGTATTTTTTGTCTTTAATGTCATGTTTGCAGCTTCTTTCGCCCTAATCCTTTGATTTTCATAGGCTCTTCTCACAGCAACTGGAAAGGAATTGAAACAAAATTATATGCTGCTATTAAAGATAGAGTTTAATCTTTCACATATTTCTTGTGTGTTCTTTCTATGAATACTCTTGTTCAAGTGATCATCTGTGAATTCAAAACCATAGCTGTGGTGATTAGGGTGCCATTTAAATCTTGTTACACTGCATCCATATACATGCACCCCTCCCATCCCATTTGTAACGCATCCCCGGAATGGGATAATAGCAGCAAACATATAAACTTTGAAATTATCTTGATCTGAACTTGGAATATTTTTGGAAAGTATATTGGCCCATGTGCAATATGTTGAAATATAGAAGGCCTAACATTCAATTGAACAAACCTGGAAGAGAACCAGCCCTTGTATCTACATTATGAATCTCAACACAATCTATCGAAAATGTGCAACAATATGCCAAAACCTGAATACGTTGAAACTAACAAGTCAGGGTCTAGTCTATGTCAAAAACATTCATGCCATATTTTAAAAGCAATCTTACATGCGGTTGATGAAAAAATAATCTTTGATCAAAAATGATAACATTTGCTAAAAAGAGAGATTTGCAATTATTGTCATGAAATAAACTAATCTGACAGAGGACCATCTGATGTAGCATTGGTTTGAATAACAAGACAGCTGACATTTATGCAGATAAAATATTCATAAAGTAGTGCACTGCATTAAAAAAAGCACTGTAAGTTGAAATGCAATGAACTAAATATATTTTAATTATCAGGTACCCAGTAAATAATTAACCAAAATGTATACATGCAGAAACCAGTATCAAAATTTACTTACACTGGTACTCTTTCTCAGAATACTTATTCTCAAACTTCAATCGTAGCTGATCTATTATTTTTTCTCTTTTATTTATGTTATGTGCAACATTCCAGCTGTAACAAACAAAAAGACAATATGCAATTATAATAATAAAATAATGATTGACAAAAAAATAAAATGCTGTTGTTGGTGACTGATAAATTAATGGAAAAATCTTAATATGATAATTATAGTAGTACCAATAAGCTATTCTCCAAATATCAGTAGTCCAGAAAAAAAATAAACTGACAAAATTGATGGAAGCGGGACATCACAAACCCCCACAAGGGAGTCAGACCAGGTGCATATGAAGCATCTGCTGCTGGCAAGCCACACCCGCCGTGATGATTTTATTCTATAAACTAGTATAACAAATACATGCTGAACATAGAACCATCACTGTTGGCCTTAAAGTTGTAATATTTCCTCTTTTCGAAAATATGTTTTACTATACTGCGTACAGTATAATGCCTGAAAACGGTCTGTTTTAAAAGACTGAGTTCTCAGCAACTTGGGGAGTCCCAAACAACATGGTTAAATGCAGACTGTTGTATTGCTGGCAACTATTCACTTTTATCACAATGTGTTTTTTGCTATGTTTTGCTAAGTTTCTTCATCTGTTTATGCTTTTAATATGCAATCAGACTCCCTAGGCCAATGCTGATAAGGTAACCCACTGTTGCATCATGGGATTTAATTTGTCCCATAATAACTTAGCAATTTTCAATGGGCAAATTATTGCTACTCTAGTTAATTTTTTTTTTATTTGGAGGCTCTGCACCTTTGAAAGACTTCGCAACATATTGCAGACTTCCGTTTTTATCACTGTCTTTGTATAGCTAACAAAAGCAGGATTACCTTTCGATCAATACATGTTATTGTTTTAAATACGTGCAAGACGAGACTGACACTTGTAAACAAAAACATAAGCATCACGGCGAGTGACCAAGCTTCAGAAGACTGGGGAGAACACTGACTGTCTCAACAAACACCGAAACAAAGGGGTTACAACTGTATTTAACTCATTTGCATAAATTGCAAGCTGAAAGCTAAGTAAAAAAATGTTGATCCTACAGTCAACAAAGAAAAAACAATTGAAAGACAATTTCACAAATATACAAAGAATGTTGTGAAAAACTTTAGATTCCTAAAAAAGCATACTGTATAGCTTTGCTTAATGATATGACTATTTTTATTTACTCACTAGAGTATTATAAAAAAGATTAATAATGAATAGATCAGTCAAACTGACTCATCAATGAAGCTTTAATAATAAAAATAAAAAACTTTACTGGGGTTTAATTACTACATCAATCTACTCTATTCATCTATATGAACTACAGGGGAGTAGTTTTACATATGGTACAGACCATTTTTACAGATCCTTTCATCAACAGATAAAACAGGAAGCCATGCATACTTCAATAAACTTGCACTGTGAACCACCGAATGGTATTTACATGAAAAATTACTTATAGTTCTATAAAAATGTTACATTTAAAAGAATGGGTGTATATTTTGGTTCATTTTTTTCTTTCCAAATGATTCTTTTGCAACTATTTCCATTACTTCAAGGGAATTATATATAAACCAAAAACAAACTTAGACAAACATTAACCCAGACAAAGAAACACTTGCTGTTGAGATTGTCTGTTCACACCTTTAACAATGAATGAAACGATAAACGTATACTTATAGAATGACACAAGAATAGAAACAGAAAATAGTTCTTCATTACCTGGATTCTGGTCAGATGATGGAAATCCACTAGCTGCGTTATGATTATGCTGTTGCAGTGGTTGTCTTGGAGTTGACCACCTTGGTAACTGGGCTGGCTGTGCGTCTAAATCGGTATATTGCATGGATGATGTTGATGGATTACTCGTATTGTAGAATGAGCCACTATTGAGACTACTATTGGTGCTATTAGTAAATAAACGTGGCGGAGTGTCTTCCATTATAGAACTTAATGCTTCAGTTGCACCAAGGCGTCGTCGAGAATTCATTGTAGATTATAACTTTAAATTGTAGCAATAAATGCAATCGAGTGCGAACGGTTCATAAGCAAAAGCTGAATGAGTGAAGCGTTGTGTACGCTGAATGACCTACATCTGGTGGCGCTGTGTTTGGACCACCTAGCTTGTTCATTACTATACAAACATATGTACATTTTTATCTTATCAATGTTCTTCATGTTGTCACTACTGAATTCAGTTGCATCAAATGTAATGAATCTAGTTGCCGTGAAAATTATTTGTTTTACTATAAATATTAACTGTTAGGTGAAAAAAATATACACTAATATTAATATACACTGATCTAGGAGGTTCTTTACGCTGAAGTGTCTCGAGCAGATCACTTCCGGTGACTTTATGTGTTGCTTATGAGCTATCGCTATTTTTATCTTGTCCGTGAAGCGCCAAATACAATTCTGTTTTTCTTTTTTATGCAATTAATAATTCTAAAGTATGTCAGAACCACCGCCGAAAAAGCAACGCATGTGGAAGTGTGGCCACTGTTTTAGATTGATGGGAAAGTCGTCATTTTATAACCACAAACAAATGTATTTTGAAAGACACGGTTACTGGGTTGACGACGACGGAAAGAAGATTGGAGACGAAAGAGGTGAGCCTGCACATATTTCAGTTTGAATTAAATCCATATTTGGATTATAACCCACCATTTTCGAGAGTTGTCTGACATTCTATTTTTTACCTCCTAAAATGGAACTGGCAACAAGCCATTTGGCTATTACTATTTTTACAACCACAATTTTGCCGCGAAATTTAAATGTGTCAATTCACAACCATTATTTTGTCAGTTGATTTCGCCACTGAATACTGTAGAATATGCTGTATTAGTTTTCTAAATTATTAGAATTTTTATTTGAATGCGTGTTTTTAATGTTGTGGTGAAAAAGGCATAACATTATCCTTGTCAGTTCACTTTCCTGTTACAGTCGGAACGATTAAGAAGTGAACCGTAAATTGCATGGCGTCCCTGTCTCGCCAAACATTGGAACAATGGAGACTGCACCTAACTCATTAGCATAAAACAAACAATGAAATTGCTGGAAAGTGGCAAAACATAAACAGTCTCAGAACAAATCAGGGATGGATGTAACAAAAAGATAAAGTTCTGATAGATATGATACCCCAATGTGGCCCCAAATAGTTTAGAATTTTAAAGTATTGGCTTTTATATAGAGAGACTATATAGTAACTAATGTTTTAAAACCTTTTTTGACATGTAACTCGTGTTTTGTGTCTGTTTTCTGTCGACTTCTTTTCAAGTTGATGTACATGTACTATACATTAGACCCATACAGACAAATCAGTATACTGAACTTGAAGTATCTTGTCTTATATAACCCAAAATGCTTAATACATGCAGATACAAAAACATGTAGCTGTAATTACACCTCCCTGACACATGAAAACTTGAAGATGTCCTTGTTCAAGTAATTGTGTTGGACAAATTTTGTACAACAAAATACTCTGCAGATTTGTCTATTACCTTCTGCAACAATGGTCTCTAAAGGCACGATTCATACAATTTAACCGATTGTGTTAACAATAATTATAAACAAGGTTATCAGGGCCATATTTACAATGAAGTCTTTTTTTTGTAGATGCATGTTCAAAGAAACTTAAAGAACATTCTGTTCAAGTTGATAATGAAATAAGTGAAGCTACCCATGATGTTCCACTTTTGCTAGCTGATGACCCTAACCAGTCATTACATCATTCGGATCAACAATGTCAGAGCAAATGGTGAGATGCTTTCTTGTTTGATACAAAATACTAGTAGACCAGAAATAAGTTTGCTGTCATATGAGAAAAGTACAAACAAATCTAGGTTTTTCTTAGAACAAGTTATGTCAGCGTTTAGGTTCAGTTATGAGGGGTAGGGTCTCATAACAAGTCAAAACAAAAATAGGTTACCTACCCCACCTAGTTTTAAAGGACTTATATTATAACATTTTTTTAAGCTTCGCTGTCATTAAAGATGACTGAGCGGAGCTCATGGTATGACTGATCATTCGTCGTTGTCCATGTCCACTTTTATCTTCTTCTCCAGAACCACTTGACCAAATGTACTTGGACTGATTTTTCCAATTAAAGTTGTTAAATTTGTGTCAAAATATGCAAATTTTGATTTTTAGTGAATATTTTTATCATTTTTGGTCAAAAGTGATTTTTCCCAAGAATGATATGTCGTGAACCTTCCAGGCATATGTACTTATTTTTTTTTTAATTTCAGGTTGCAGTAAATGCCTAAAAGAATTCCCACGTGCAGCTTTTGGAGAAAAGGCTGATTACAGCAACTTCAATGTTGAGACATACCCAGAAAGAAGTGAAAGTGAACATAAGTGTTATGGTTTGAAAACATTACATGCAAAGAATCCAACAGAGCAGTCAAACCTTGAACGAGAATTTGGTGCACGGTGGACAAGTTTGAATTCTTTGCATTACTTCAAGCCTGTTCGTTTTCATGTTGTGGACCCAATGCATAATTTGCTTCTGGGTACTGCTAAACATGTAACAAAAGTATGGAAAGAAGCAGGAATTATAGATGCAGCAAAAATGGATGAGATTCAAGTACGTATGGACAAACTTAAAGTCCCTTCAAATATTGGAAGAATTCCAAACAAAATTGCTTCTGGCTTCTCAGGCTTCACTGCTGATCAGTGGAAAAATTGGGTGTGTGTATATTCGTTATTTTCTCTGAAAGATGTGATTCCCAAGGAACATTACAAGTGTTGGCAACTGTTTGTTGATGCTTGCAAGTTGCTTTGCACAAGAAGAATCTCCATGGAAGAAATATACAAGGGACACAAGTTATTAAATGACTTTTGTAAAACTTTTGCAAGACTCTATGGAAATAATAAATGCACAATGAATATGCATTTGCATATGCACCTAAAAGACTGCATTTTAGATTTTGGCCCAGTATATAGTTTTTGGTGCTTTTCATACGAAAGATTCAATGGTATTCTGGGGTCTTATCCCAAAAACAACCATTCTATAACAGTTCAACTTATGCGACGATTTCTGCAAGGTCAGCAGGTGTTTGATATACAATTTCCTGTACAATACAGTGAAATGCAGAATATCCTTACTGATGATAGATCACGAGGAACCCTACATCAGATGAAAACAGCTGAACAAGGCCATTCAGTGTACTTGAATTGTGTAAATCCTGATATTAGTCTTTGTAATTTCACTGAAGACTGCAGTATAGTTGTGTTGCCACCAGAGCGTGCATATAGCATTGATGAGGATGATGTATCTGAACTCTCTGAGTTGTACGCAAAGATGTATCCATCCAAATCATGCACAGTATTGCAGCTATCTGAGCAGTACAAGAGGGTTAAGTACTGTGACAATATCTATTGCACAAGGTTTTCTAGAGGAGAGACTTCCTCTTGCATTTATGCCAAGTGGATTGGTAATGTGTCTGAGATAAATGCAAGTGCTCAGCCAAGACCAGGGCTTATCACCAACTTTATTAGGAGTGAGGTTATATTGACTGACTCGGATGGCAACAGGAAGAAAGTGTCTCACATCCTTGCTGAGGTTTCATGGTACAAGAAACATCCCATGCACTCTTACTATGGATCACATGTTGAAGTTTGGGGGACAGACTTTGAATGTGTTGCCTTTGTTCCAATACAGCGAATAATGGGGCACTGCATTTCTGCTGAACACCAAATACAATTTCCATATTGTAGGTCAAATGGTGAAAATGTTACTGTGGTTGTACCATCGACTCCAGTATTTAAATAATTAAATTTCATATATCATGTACAGGGCTGACACTGGGAATTTTTGTTAAGTGCAGAAGGGGAGGAGTCAAATCGCACATGTTTGTGGCGTTCCATCTCTCTGTGTCAGACACTGCCATTTAGGGTTAGCCATAGTGATGGTCCTGGCAAAGTATTCAAGTCATATCTTGCAATTCTGTCTCATATTTTTTTTTCTCAAAAAAATACATAAAAAGGATAGAACAACTTGGTATAGATATGCACGTTATTTTTTCCTTACGAGGCGTGCACTGTGCAATATTGTGTTGATTTACATATTTATTTTTTCAATAACTATTCGATTTAATAGGGCCTAGATGTTTAGCTGTGAAAGATTTACTTTTGATTTTCAACTTAGAGAAATTCACCTATTTAATGGATTTGTAATACTTTACTATTGGGCCAGTGTGACCAAAATTTGTATATACATTGTACATAATTTTATTTTGTTTCGGCAAAATAGTCCATATGTGACCAAATATGTGGTAAAGACATACTCGGTGTTTTTATCTTGTGAATTGTTAGTCCAACTTGATGAAATGATGAAATCAAGTAAAAAAATAATAATTTTGCAACATAATTATGTTCATGTGAAAATCATAGCAATAAAGGTTTTAATGAAATCTGATAGAAATTGTAAATCAAATCATTACATCCACAATGACTGCCACTCTAATATGAATTGCTTGGCCTGTAACAACCTCAGATGGGCATTACATTTATGAATAAAATAATGTAGTTTATAAGTAAGACCACATGTACCACAAGAGTTTATAAGGAACACATTTTCTTGCATTATCTGAAAATTCCAATATAAAGTGTCATCCTTAACTTTGTTGTGTAAAAAAAATCCATTGAAATGCATGTATTTGTATGTGCAAGTTCTCATGCATGTGGTTATACATGTTTGATACTTTGTTTTAAGTAGTTATTATATAATTAGTGTTGTGTTTTTTTAAATAAAAGAGTGAGAAAAAATACTAAAAATGTATTTCACTTTGATTGATTTACAAGTTGTGAATGCAGTGCAATCAACTGGAATATGAAATCAGACCCAACATAAAATGTTGAGGCTGCAGGTTGAGAATTTTATCTTTGGGAGGACTTTATATCCCAGATTATCTCACAAAATAGGTACTTCATCAAACTTCTGCATTTTCCACCAAAACTCATGAAGCTACAAATGCTACACACATCATAGGTACATGATTATCTCCCCCATTCTTATGTGATATGATTTGATCATATTTGCACTAAGCTCAATATTGCATATGAAAACTTATTCAGTTTACAAGATTCTTTTATTTCGTTGTCATAGTAATGAAGTCAGCCATGTCACGTGATGAAATATCACAGCCAGCTATATCATTTTTTATTCAGAAACCACAGAAAAAACTTGCGTAGATGTCACGGCAGCAGTGTTCTATGCCTTCAATCATTGTAGTAAGCTGACGTTTTTAGCCATTTGAATGACCATGCAATGTCCTGTTCGCAGAATTTGTGGTAAAACATACAACTTATTCTGGCAGGCCTATTCACGCCCTCTAGAGACATTTTAAACAAACCAATGATGACATATCAAATTAAATCTAAGACAAAGTCCTACCTTATTGAATAACATTTAAAAAAAACAGTCAAAATGTGTTTAATCATACCAACATGTGTAGCAAGTGGCAGTGAATGTGCCGGGAAATCCTGCCACTAGTGATACACAACAATATAGTGTCTCGGGGGGGGGGGTTACTTTCATCTTAAGTAATGCCCACATCCGTTAAACCATGCTCACTTCTAAACCATCCAGATATCCACTTCTTAATCGAAATGAGAGTTTTCGTTCACAAAGACATGACACATCCGTACACATAAACCTGGCTTACAATTCAAAATTAGATTGGGATTTTTATGCATTTAAAATCAGCGCATTTTGGCAGCACAATGATCTTATCTTTGAGCATTTCAGTATCTGGAATTGACTAATGAAATGAGAAACTGTAAATGAAATGTCATGCACTTCCAAACCAAAAAACATTTGAAAATTACTACCCACTTCTAAACTAAATTAATGCAATGCGGCAACCCTGTTGGGCGACAAATACAACAACGCTTCCGTGATACAGCAGATTGGATTTCACCTTAAAGATCCGTGTGTTTTTTCCATGATTTGCAAATGTTTATTTCTCTGAAAATATATCTACATACAGTACATCTAACGCCCAAAATTTGACAATGTAATGAAGATATGAATGGGAACATAGGATGATAGCCATTTAAACTACTGAGCATTATTTGCCAGTTTATGTATAATAGAATGTGACAGGATGTATAAAGTGTGTTTAATTTATATGCAAGCCATATATTTATCTGCATTTGGTTAATACAAATTAATATAGTTTGTAGAAATATTGCTAAATAAATCGTCAATAAGCCATGTATTTACAAACACTATTCACTGATATTTACAGTTTATTCACCATGTATTTTCAAGAGTGCAATTACATGTGAATAAAGGCATGAATACAGAAATTTATTATTATTTGCTGTTTTCATATGTATTGTCCTGCATTTGTATGTATTCGCCATGAATACAGGGGAAAATAAATACCTGCATTGGCATGTATTAACACCATTTCACGTAGTGTGATCATGTTGCATTGATAGGAAGAAGACTAAAGCCAAGTAATCATTAATACAAAATACCAGGTAAAGTGTGGTACATGTGCAACTTTATTGGTGAGATTTAGACGAAATATATTGTTATACTACAATGGTTAAAACAAACTTAAAAGTGCTTACTGACGTTCAGCCTGTCACCTGTTTGCATCAAAAGTCAATAAATATGGTAGTGAACTTCTGGATTTTTGCATTAGCACTGGCTTCAGAATTGTGAATGGTAGGGTTTATAAAAACACTGGTAGTGGAAATTTTACTTTTATTTCAGAGGTTGGGACAAGTGTTGTTGACTATGTTTTGTCATTTCCAAATACGTTTCCATTGTTCAATGTATTTACAGTTGGAGCTCGGGTTGATTCTGATCATATGCCACTTGAATTTGCTATATCACTTGCTTATGGTTCCAATTCTGCGAATGTCAATGACTTTCAACATAGTGTCAATTATTCTACTCCTAAACTAAGGTGGGACACCAAGGGAAAACCAAAGTATTATAATAATATTAATTTACAACACGTTGAGGGGATGCGCCATGATTTTCATGATAATATTAGGCAGG